TCAAGTTTGCACTGTAAGATACGTTGCATGGAATACCTTTTGAAACTTGGATACAATTCTGACTTTAAAAAATCCCAAGCAGTAACTCAACAACACAAACAATTAGGAAAAGAAAAGAAAACATCTATACAGAAATTATTAAAAGTGAAATTATCGCTGACTATCGATGTCGTAAAACAAGGAACAGAAACGACAAATACAGGTAATGTCGCCAGAACATTTTTTGAGAATGCAAAGGTAGTATCGGAGTGTCGAAGAGTAGATGGAAAGTTTATTAATTGGTTTCACAATATTTTACAGGTAATTTTGTGCAACATGATGATTGATTGTGCAATAATGAAAAGCTATTGTGAAGAAACATACAAAATGTGCATATCTTTGTATGATTGGTATAAAATACCTCCATCAGTGCCCAAGTTATTAATACACGGTAGTGACATAATAAATTGTTTCAAGATCCCTTTGGGTAGGCTAAGTGGAGAACCGCAAGAAGAATATAATAAAATCTTTAGGAGAATCCGTCTAGAAAACAGCCGAATGCTAAATCAAAAAGCATCTAACAAAGACATTATACACTACCTTATGCTGTTATCAGATATGGTCATCAGTTCACTTAGAATAAAAGATGAAATAAAAGTTAAATCCTTAAGTAAAGATGCACTAAAACTTTTAATTTCAAATTTGTGAATGAAATACAACAGTTAAAAAAAAAATCAAATACTTCATATGCAATTACACAGTTAAAAAATACAAAAAAAAACAATAATTAAAAAAAAAACAAAAAAAAAACAAAAAAAAAAAACAAAAAAAAGCAGAAAAAAAGTGTGATGTAGTTCACCTCCACGCGGTGCACGTTGAAAAACATAATGATAATACGTCCTATGGCTAAACGAACTACTTTTTTTAACTTATTAATTGAGATATATTTTACAATTTAGGGATTGGTAGGGGTAGTTTTTCAGAGTTGTAAGGGTCCGTGGGGATTAAGAATGCAGGGTTAATGTGTTTAGCCTGTCTGTTGTTGAGGAATGCATTTTTGTTAAGAAACCCAGTTGATAAAAGTTGCTCTGCCCAGGGTTAGGTAGGTTAGCCTGCTTGGGGGTTGGTAGAAATGGTTTTTTAAGGGTTGTAAGGGTCTGTGGGGATGAAGAATGCAGGGTTTATGTGTTTAGCCTGTCTGTTGTTGAGGAATGCATTTTTCTTAAGAAACCCAGTTGATAGAAGTTACTCTGCCCAGGGTTAGGTAAGTTAGCCTGCTTGGGGGTTGGTAGGGGTTTGCAAGGGTCTGTGGGGGTGAGAAATGCAGGGTTAATATGTTTAGCCTGTCTGTTGTTAAGGAATGCATTTTTGTTAAGAAACCCAGTTGATAGAAGTTGCTCTGTCCAGGGTTAGGTAGGTTAGCCTGCTTGGGGGTGGGTTCACCGCTTTAGGGGTGATTTTTACCCCTATAAATTTGGATTTTCGCAGTAATACAAGATAGCGGACATAATAACGAGTATTTAAAAAACAAAAAGACTTAATTTGGACGTTTTTTTCTGCCCCGCGCGTAATTTTGATCGTTTTCGCCCACTGTGCGCCGAGAAAAGAAATGAAATGTAAAAAATACGGTTTTTATGGTCCCTAGCAGGAAAAAATTCTTTTGGTCTCGGACCCAGTTGACCCTTTATTTTTAGCCCTAAAAAACAGTTTGACACTGTTAAAACGAAAAAACTTAATTTAGGGCATTTTGCTGTGCTTAATTGGGGGGACCCTTTGAGTAAAACTGTCAACTTTAAATCGTCCTACGGAAATTTATGAAAACATTATTGCAACTTACTTTGTCACGTGATATTACTGCAATTTCAAATGCAAATAATGTTGCAAAACTGATTGCAACATTAATTTTGACGTAAACTGAAAAACAGTTACGCAACAGAACTTGCAATTTATGTTGCAATTTTTTTTGCGATTATTGTTAAAGGAAATTCAATATTTCCGTAGCTAGTACTTTTATACATAAAAAAAAAAAATGTAAAATAATCATAGGTCGCGTTAATTTTTCTGCAATTCGTTTTTTTATTCTGACAAATATTTGAAATTGAAACAGTAGGTCGTTCAATATTTTAATCTTCATATTTTGTATTTGGATTTTTCAAAAAGTGATGTTTTTCAGGAACTGATTTAAATTATTGTTAACAACAGTTCAAAGGGGTTGTAATTGCACGCCCCACAATTTCCTGCAGAAATTTGTTCGTTCGAAGGACTTCAAAGTCCTACCTTAGAACAAACGTTTTATTTTGTTTATTTATGACCCTTTGTCAACTGTTTTTTTTGGGTAACATTGTAAGATAATAACTTCTTACATATTGTCATTGTTATTAAAGTGTCTATAACTTTGTTGTAAGCAATTAAGAAGAAAAAATTGTTTCTTTCTATTCAGTATTAAATCAGGGTCCAAAGTACTTTTTATGCTTGCGTCATGGTAACAAAAGATAAATTTTTCTGTCGTTCGGGAGCACACACTGAAAAAATTTCGGCAAGAAAGTTAACTGCCACTATGAATGTACGGCTTTATATAGCTGTGGCTTAACTTTTGCCATTGACGGTAGCGTAGCGCGTAGCTAGCACGCAGCGTACGGCAGAACAGAACGCACTGCCTTACTGACTTAAATACAGTCCAGAGAAAATTGTAGTTTCCTACCTTAACGGTAGGTTGCTTTAATTGCATAGCCTTGAAACATTATTTATTTAACAGCTAGCTGTTTTATTAAAAAAATAAGAGTAGACGCACATTCTTGACACATCAAAGAACAAATCAAGCCCTTACTTAGCAAAATTGATTGAGAATTCAAGCCAAACAGTGAAAAATCAGGTGTTGGATTAATAAGATGTAATCTGATCTCTCACTTTTCTTCTCCATATTTCAATAAATCTTACCGAAATCGAGCAATATTTATTCCTTGTAGATTCAGGAATGTAAGTCTACTGTTTTTCTCACATGTTAATATTTCAGATTAATCGATTGTTGCATACTAAGTCAAATATCTGTTGGTCGATAGAATAGGAAACTCATTTATGCAAAGTAATATCGTATGCTTAATTCAGTTAGGTGATGTTATTTGCATCAGTAATTTACTATAGTCATTTTTTTAATAAAACAGCTAGCTGCTAAATAAATAATGTTTTATGGCTATGCAATTAAAGCAACCTACCGATAAGGTAGAAAACTACAATTTTCTCTGGACTGCCTTCAACAGGTTGCTTTCTTTCTGGGACCGGGTGAAAAATCAACCCACAACTAGAAGTCATTCATTCCAAATAGTAGGCACGTCATGCCCAGAGTGTTTGACCTGATTTTGTTTCGGCTTGGGCAAATTTCTTGCCCGAAATTTTTTCAGTGCAGTATTCACATTTTTTTGAGCGCCACAATTAACTTCACTTGATTTCGTTAATGTTAATAATCTTGAAAAACCATACAAAATATCAAATGAACAACTTATAAATAATTACACAAGCAACAACTACCTGATGACCTGGGACGCTAACTGGCTGCTCTACTAAATAATAAAATGATAAATAATAACACAAGCGCCAACTACGATGAGCATGATACGAGGGAAAACAAAACAAAGTACTTGTTACTGCAATTATTATGTATTGATCATAAAAGATACAGGAAAACTAGTAATAATAGACTGTAAAATTTGATGTGTTATAATGTTATATTAGTAGACGATCGTTGAACGTATTAAAGACTTCTAAATTCTATTGTAGGTGAGATGTGGAAAATAATAGTGTTGAAAAATATTATGACCTTTATATTACAGAATAATAATTTCTGAATACTTGTCACTAATATTACAATGTATAAAGATCGTTTTATGGAACAATCCTAATTTAAATTTTAAAATATTTTAACTTTCTTGCGTCATTCGCATTTTTTTCCCATTATGTTGAGAGACATAGGATTAGTATATGTTTTTCTGTTCAACAGATGACATGGTTTAATTGTAAAAATAAATATTTTTTCAAACCCTTGGGGGAAGTTAGTACTTCTACGGTTAGGTTTGCCTGGAGGAAGGAGAACGTTTACTAACAACTAAGTGGAACAGCGGAACTACGAATTTTTACCCAAAGATTAAAAAAACAGTATTTATTATATGAATGAAAATATGAAAATCCCGTACGTACGTGACTGTGAATTCCTCTCGTTTTCGCCTGGATGTGTCATATCACGTTCGTGCAGAAGTTCTATTTCCCCTCCTTGTACTATTTTTCATAATTTTTTTGTATTATAGGTTAAAAGGCGACTTTGCACCAGTAGAAAAAATTTTTGTCAGTTTCTCGTTCATGGACATTAATACTTCGACAGTTATATGATCTCTCTTTATTCGTTTTTGAGATACATGACTAAAAACATGTATTATTTAAACAATTTTATGGTACTTATAGGTTAACAAGTATTTTGACAGTATTGCACCAAGTTTTATCGTAATATGCATTAAATATACTAAAGGCTTTTATAAGTTTGTTCATTATATCTTTTTTTCGAGTTTAGATGAACGAGAAATTTTTTTTGTATCTCTTGTTTCATTTTGTCATTACGTAGATATGTTTTATTATACTATTACTGTTTGTTTTTTAATATTGACGGTTATGAATGTAAAAACATTTTTTTTCAAAAGCTTTTGTTGAACTTTTTACGTACATTTTGCCGGATAACTATAGCCATTGTTCAAATCAATGTTACAAGTACAAATTTTTAAAAATGCGTCATTATAATTGCAATGCTAATATAGTACTCTTAAATCGTTGGGTATTTATGTCAGTGTTTTCATGCATATGTCAAATGAGTAGATAAGTTGATAAGTTTCTCAAATAAAATGTATTGAAAAAAGTAGCAGTTACAGTACAAGAAAAAAAATTTCATTTGACTTTTTTACATATAACACTGATATAAACATCATCCGACAATGCTTCGGGCGCGTATTTTCTGAACGCAGGCCCTCCTGGCCAACATGTCGGCCATGTACGCCGTTTACCACGGGCCCGAGGGCTTGCGCCGAATAGCGGCTCGCGTGCACATGCTGACCGTCGTCCTGGCCGAGGGACTGCGGAGGGATGGGCACGACCTTGTGGGCGAGGGCTGGTACTTTGACACTGTGACGATAAAGCCAAGAGTGCCTTTGGAAAACATCAGGAGAAGCGCCGAGTCGGAGAGGATGAACCTCAGGTACAACAGGGACGGGACCGTGGGCGTGTCTCTGGACGAGAAGACGACTCCCGATGACGTGGACGACATCCTCCGAGTATTTGGGACCAGCGCCACGGTCGAGGGGATCGTCGGAAGCGGCCTCGTCGAGGGCAGGGACCTTGACCACTCGCCCTTCCGTCGCACGACTCCGTACTTGCAGCATCCCGTTTTCAACGCCCATCACTCGGAAACACGGATCGTTCGGTACATGAAGTCTTTGGAGAACAAGGACATCTCGCTCGTGCACAGTATGATTCCCCTGGTGAGTAAAAAAAAAAAAAAATAAGGGTGAGAGCAGCTAATAATAAAATTCGTGCGAATCATCGGTTAGGGCTCGTGCACGATGAAACTGAATTCGACGACCGAGATGATGCCGTGCAGCTTCAAAGGGTTCACGGATGTGCACCCGTTCGTGCCGCCGGAGCAGTCGCGCGGGTACCATCAGCTGTTCGTCGAGCTCGAGCGGGATCTGTGCGCGATAACGGGATACGACAGCATAAGCTTCCAGCCGAACAGCGGAGCCCAGGGCGAGTACGCTGGCCTCAGGGCGATCCAGTGCTACCACGAGTCCCGTGGCCAAGGCGAACGCCAGGTCTGTCTGATTCCCGTTTCGGCTCACGGGACCAATCCGGCCTCTGCTCAGATGGCCGGCATGAAAATCGAGCCGATCAATGTCAAGAAGAACGGCTGTGTCGATGTCGAACATCTCAAGGCCATGGCTGATAAATTCAAGGTTGGAGAGATCTCTGTTATCATCGTCTCGCTTATCCATGCTCTTTCGGCACTTAATCAATGTAAATGAAGCTTTCAAACACGTGCTCGATGATTTTTAGGACAAGCTGTCGTGCCTGATGATCACGTATCCGTCAACAAACGGTTTATTCGAGGAGACGATTGGCGACGTCTGTGAGCTGGTGCACAAGGCGGGCGGCCAAGTTTACCTCGACGGGGCGAACATGAACGCACAGGTAGGCTTGTGCAGGCCCGGTGACTACGGCAGCGACGTGTCGCACTTGAACCTGCACAAAACTTTCTGCATACCGCATGGCGGTGGTGGTCCAGGAATGGGTCCGATAGGCGTCAAGAAGCACCTCGCGCCTTTTTTGCCAAGCCATCCCGTCATCGATACGTTGACCGGTGATGTTAGGGTGTGTGGTTTTTTTTTCGTTCCCTCGTCATCAGTGGTTACTTTTTAATGTTAATGTTATAATTTTTTTTTCGTTCCAACCAGGAAACGAAGGGCTTGGGTGCAGTCTCTGCTGCGCCGTACGGATCGTCGGCGATTTTACCGATTTCCTGGGCTTACATAAAAATGATGGGGCCACAGGGACTGCGCAAAGCGACGCAAGTTGCCATCCTTAATGCCAACTACATGAGCAAAAGGCTAGAAAAATACTACAAAATTTTGTTCAGAGGGAGTAGCGGCCTCGTGGCTCATGAATTTATTTTGGACGTGCGAGATTTGAAAAAAACCGCCAATATCGAGGTAGTGGACATCGCCAAGAGACTCATGGACTACGGTTTTCACGCGCCTACCATGAGCTGGCCCGTTGCTGGCACGCTTATGGTCGAGCCCACGGAATCTGAGGATAAGCTCGAGCTCGATCGATTCTGTGACGCGCTTATTTGTGGGTTTTTTTGTTTGTTTTTTTAATATTCAAAAAGTTATTCAAAATCAATTTTTTTTGCAAATTCTTTTATTTTTCATTACAGCTATAAGGCAAGAGATTCAGGATATCGAAGATGGAAAACTAGATGCCAGAATTAATCCTCTTAGAATGGCGCCGCACACGCAAGAACAGATTATTAGTGATAAATGGGATCGACCATATTCAAGAGAATTGGCTGCTTTCCCAGCAGTAAGTAACTCTAGTAAAATAATTTACCTTTTAAAGGTACTAAATCTTTTATTTAATTTAAAAAACTATTTTTTTATTAGCCATTCGTAAAAGCAAGTACAAAGATGTGGCCTACCGTGGGAAGAATAGATGATATTTATGGAGATGTAAATCTTTTCTGTACCTGCCCACCAATTTTGCCTCAACAGTAGAAAAAAATAAAATGTATATAGTGAATAATCGATTGGATCAATTTGAGTTTTACATAATTAAATTACATCTAAAACGTATTAATTATCGGATACGCTTGTAAATATGCTCATTGTCACCATGTCACTCGGA